CCCCCCCCCCCCCCCCCCCCAGCACTGTTACGCAGGCTATATTTAAATTGTATAGCTCTATCATTTCGAATTCTGTACTTTTGTCTAATAGTAGACCAAAATTAAAGGCCATACCTGTCGATCAAGTTTTACTAAATTTAACTTTATTTTATACAAATAGCTCTATCAGTTCTGAACTGTTCTCCCTAGTGGTCCAATAAGGGTTATCTCTTATTGATCCAGTGTTAGTACAGGAGGAAACCTAAATTAACTTTATTTATATTGGACCTCTAGAAAGAACAGTTCTAAACTGTTCTTCCTAGAGGTCCAATGAGGATCGTATCTTATTGATCCAGTGTTACTACAGGAGGAAACCTAAACTAAACTAACTTTATTTATACTGGATAGCTCCATCAGTTCTAAACTGTTCTCCCTAGAGGTCCAGTAAGGATCATACAGGAGAAAACCCAAACTAACTTTATTTATGCTGGATAGCTCTATCAGACAGTTCTAAACTGTTCTCCCTGGATCCATGGAGATCTAGTTCATCCCTAATGTGTTACTACAGAAGGAAATTGGCTGTCATCCTGGAAGTAAGTATTCTATAATGTCACCTCAACCGACAATATTCACCGACAGGAAATTATCCTTCATAGAAATGCTGAGTGTGGTCGCGGTCCGAACAACAGTCTATGTAGGAGACATTGATTTATGAATACACAGATAATTAGCACACATTGTAGGAATTCTTGCAATTTTACTGCATGCAAGCGACTCTGTTGAAAGATATGAAATTAAAGATGAATTGCATATCTCCTGCTGGCCTCATTCTGTCTGCGTAATTATAAAACATTGTAAACATGTATATTGGTTAAAATTTACGGCAACCACTGAGTATTCTAACAAAATACAATACAATGGAAACTGCGAAGAAATTCATATAACTTGTAAAATGTATATAACTTGTAAAATTTTTAGTAGCTTTCATAATTCCTGATGATGACTCAACAGTGGTCGAAACGTTGAATTAAAAATATGAATTTCTTCGGAGTTTCTATTGTATTGTATTTTATACTGGTTAGCTCTATCAGTTCTACGCTGTTCCTAATTCCTTAGACCCCTACACTTTGGTGCATACCACATTGACTTATCAGTTCTACACTGACTGTTCTCTTTGACTTAGAGGTCCAGTAAGGATCATCTTTTATTAAATTGATCCAGTGTTACTACAGGAGAAAACCTTAACTAAACTAACTTTATATTATACTGGATAGCTCTATCAGTTTGTTCGCCTTATTAAGCATAGAGTTACAGCAATATAAAGGCTAAATGCACCCTTTCAATTTCTGCGGATGCGGAATGTCGGACGTAGGGACAGACGGGCTTGCGGAACTAAAGACGTGGACTTTTTTATAACATTTTTTCTATTTTAGTTCCCAAGCCTCAATTAAAATATATGTTGAACGGCCAAGTTCACGTGATTTGGCAAGAGAAGACCTCTGGCTTCAACTACACAGCTTACTCTTGCCACACGTCATTGATGTCGTTCCTAAACATACCATATCCAAATTCGTGTCCACAATTCCATCCGATTGTAAGTTGTAACGTAACAAGAGATGTTCATCAATGTAGTATGGAAGTGTCTCAATACATTGAGTATACTGTGTATTTAAGTGCTGACCATCAAGGATGTCAATTAAGAGGCGGAGAAGTCAAAATTAGACCCAGTCTAAGCAGTAAGTATCTCAGACATGGTGGTCCAGTGTAGGTAGTATTCTACAATAAGCTGTCGTGGTTTGTGTCAGAACTACCTGAAAAAGATATCTGAAACGTGGTGGTCCAGTGTAGGTAGTATTCTACAATAAGCTGTCTTGGTTTGTGTCTGAACTACTTGAAAACGATATCTGAAACGTGGGGAGAGGGGGGGGGGAGGAGGAGATCCAGTCTAGGTCGAACCCACCTTATTTATCAGTTTACTTTACAACCATATAAAAATACAGAATGGTAATTACAAAATGTTTATACATATTAAAAGATATAATTAAGAGTGAGGTGAACAGGTCATGGATGCCATGTGATGACCAACCTCACAAACATTACGCAGAAGAATACGGAAAACATAAAACAATTAAAGGACAATAGATTATTAATAATGATAATAATAATGATTGTATTTATATAGCGCCTATATATTGCTGTCCTAAGCGCTTACATATCGTGATTGAAAAATTAAGAACAACTGCTTAAATTATAAGAACGGTATTAGCAATACGATTTTTTAAATACTCTACAATAAACTGTCGTGGACCGTGGTTTCACTGGTTTGTGTCCGATCAGTCTGAACTACCTGGAATAAATGTTTTTCGACTCCGAACACCACAACACTGGAACAATAAAGTTGGTTACAGACGAGCAAGTTTTCTATGACAAGTTTTTATGTGACAAACATGAAAACTTGCTCGTCTGTAATCGACTTAAGGCATGTGTTTTACTGGAGCTCTAGAGAAGAAACAATTTATGAGCAATCATTCAAAGTTTTGTGTTCTCTCTCTCTCTTTCTAGTTGCCTATCCTGGCCCAGTTCCTAAGTTAAACGTGTACAGTAAAAATAATGATTTGATCATCGAGTGGATAAAGGCGAGTGGGCAAAGGGTTCGATACGTTCGTCTTTTGTACTCCTTGAGATGTCAAAAGCTTGAAAAATTAGTTTCGAAACCCTATTATTGCTGTATTCAAGTTCGCCTGCCTTACGGAATATCTCCGTATTACTCTGAAGTATGCAAAACCAGTCAAAGCACAGGTATATAATTATGGCATTGTTACTGTTTCCGATTTAAAGACGGATTATCTCTCAAAATTCTTCTTCTGTCAGACGGATTAGTGATCAGTCATCTTAGTTCCAGTCATAGATATCTTGGTTCCACTCGACAGGGCGCACATTCAACAAATTGCTGGGTGGGGGGGGGGGGGACTCGGGAACTCCTCCCACTGATTCCAGTGGAGACTAATCTAGCTACAGTTGCGCAATTTATGCTGGCAGTGAGAACGTACAAATTATGCCTGATGTTTCACCGATAATCCGTCTGCAGAATACGTATAGATGGATGATCATCAAGACAAACAACGCATGCAACTTTATCGGATTATTTGACACATCAGTTCGTTTTCTGCGTATATACACACGAACTATCAGACGAACTCTCTTTGCACTATTGTTTCTTTTCTTTGCAGGGATAACATCGAACATTCAATGTGACGATACACACGAATGTAAGAAAGCAGAAGTACAGAACTTGAGCGATTTTTCTGGCGATTTAATGGTGGGTACTACCCGTCTATATTGTCCAACCATGCTGGACTACAGGGCCGTACACAGGGGAGGGGGGCAAGAGAGGCAAGGGGGGGGGGCAACTGCTCCCCCAGAGAAAACTATATTTACGATTTTTAGAATGTCATTATTAATTATTCTGTAGATATTTGGGATTTTTTTCGGCATGAAGGCCTGACTGTCCCCCCCCCCGCTGGTGAAAAAATCCTGCGTACGGCCCTGCTTGACTAAGCCATGAGTTTTGTACAACATCAGATCACTTCAAGATCGCCCACATTCAAGAACATGTAATACCTCTGCATGATCTAACCACGGTTAACTCAGCAGTTAGTTCTGTACAATATCAGATCACTTCAAGATCGCTCACATTCAAGAACATGTAATACCTCTGCATGATCTAACCACGGTTAACTCAGCAGTTAGTTCTGTACAATATCAGATCACTTCAAGATCGCCCACATTCAAGAACATGTACTACCTCTGCATGATCTAACCACGGTTAACTCAGCAGTGAGTTCTGTACAATATCAGATCACTTCAAGATCGCCCACATTCAAGAACATGTAATACCTCTGCATGATCTAACCACGGTTAACTCAGCAGTGAGTTCTGTACAATATCAGATCACTTCAAGATCGCCCACATTCAAGAACATGTAATACCTCTGCATGATCTAACCACGGTTAACTCAGCAGTGAGTTCTGTACAATATCAGATCACTTCAAGATCGCCCACATTCAAGAACATGTAATACCTCTGCATGATCTAACCACGGTTAACTCAGCAGTGAGTTCTGTACAATATCAGATCACTTCAAGATCGCCCACATTCAAGAACATGTAATACCTCTGCATGATCTAACCACGGTTAACTCAGCAGTGAGTTCTGTACAATATCAGATCACTTCAAGATCGCCCACATTCAAGAACATGTAATACCTCTGCATGATCTAACCACGGTTAACTCAGCAGTGAGTTCTGTACAATATCAGATCACTTCAAGATCGCCCACATTCAAGAACATGTAATACCTCTGCATGATCTAACCACGGTTAACTCAGCAGTGAGTTCTGTACAATATCAGATCACTTCAAGATCGCTCACATTCAAGAACATGTTATTCCTCTGCATGATCTAACCATACTTAACTCAGCAGTGAGTTCTGTACAGTATCAGAACACTTCAAGATCGCCCACATTCAAGAACATGTAATACCTCTGCATGATATAACCACGCTCAACTCCTCATGTTTTATATAGCCTGATGACTCCGACTGGCCGAATTCGCCTCTCGCAATGCTTCTTTATGTAGAGAAACAACAATAAGAAAACTGAAGGAAAGGAGGCCTTTTGCCCTCCTGAATTCAAAGCAAGAATGTATATAGATGTAAACAACGATCAGTTTTCAATCAGGTTTAACCATGATCAACCAAGCGAAGAATATATCGTTATTCATGTACATATCATTCTAATAACGTTCACTGAATGGATTATATAACAAAATTAGATCTTGATTATTGGAAATAAAATTATATTTTTGACTTTATCAACAACAACATTGTTCATTGTAGGTGATGGTGGTGGTGGTGATGGTGGTGATGGTGATGATGGTGGTGATGGTGGTGATGATGGTGGTGGTGATGGTGATGGTGGTGATGATGGTGGTGGTGATGGTGATGGTGGTGATGATGATGGTGGTGGTGATGGTGATGATGGTGATGGTGGTGATGGTGGTGATGGTGATGATGGTGGTGGTGATGGTGATGATGGTGGTGATGGTGATGATGGTGATGGTGATGATGGTGGTGGTGATGGTGGTGATGGTGGTGGT